AGAGAGAGAGAGAGAGAGAGAGAGAGAGAGAGAGAGAGAGAGAGAGAGAGAGAGCTCCATGGAAGTAATTTCAGTCCATGGAATCAAGCTCCATGGAAGTAATTTCACTCCTGGTACTATAAACTTGATCAAAAGCCTCTGACTGGGGAACTCATAGGCCCTAGGTCGGAGACTATCTTACCATTGTTTTGCTAACTAGACATGATATCAACCGGCATTCTGTGTATTTATACTTGTGGATTTGGGCTGCTCTCAACTTTGGTCAGTGAAGCTTCTTGCAGTGGTCGGTGTTTAGTGCAGAGGCTCAGAACTTGTCAAAGTGCTGCATGAGAGGAGCTCTGAGTGCTCGGCTATGGTTGGGCATCTGCATGAATGACCCATCACTCAGGATTCAGGGAGCTTCACCAAAGATGGGTCAGAAACGATGTAAGAGCTCATAGATGAGGAGGAAAGCTATGAAATGCCGTCCTCCGGACGTGGCGTGGCTGCTGTGGGATGGTCTGCATGTCAAATGTGTTGCTCTGATTGGTCAATAAATAAAACACTGATTGGCTAGTAGCCAGGAAGTATAGGCGGGACTAACAGAGAGGAGAATTGAGAGAGCAGGAAGGCAGAGGGAGACACTGCCAGCTGCCGCCATGACAAGCAGCATGTGGAAATGCCGGTAAGCCACGAGCCACGTGGAACGGTATAGATTTATAGAAATGGATTAATTTAAGATGTAAGAGCCAGATAGCTAGAAGCCTGAGCCATTAGGCCAAACAGCTTAAATAATATAAGTGTCTGTGTGTTTATTTTATAAGTGGGCTGTCGGACTGCCGGAGCTTGGTGGGAACCGGAGAGAAAACTCCAGCTACACATGACTGTTTGGATGCATCCACACACAGTAGCTGTGTCTAACTTCACAAAGGCTGTATAAGATCAAGCCAGTCCAAATTTTCCAGTGGATAGTGAAGACCCACAGACCCACCCTTAGCTGAGGAGCTCCTGGTGGTTGATGGCTGCCAAGGAAACAAAGAGTCACTGTCCTTTGGGGATATGGCCATGCTGGTGGTGGCTCATTCCCCTGTGGATGGCGTCACACCCATGTACATATGGGCTGCACTAATAGAACTCAGGGGGTTATTAATAACAAAGATAAAAAGAGGCATAATAATAAAAATAAAGCTGAGAGAAGATTAGGAGGGCTAGAGGGAATTGGAAAGAGGTGATCTCAACAAGGAGCCAAACATAGAAATGAGAGAGAGAAAGAGAAAGAAAGAGAGAGAGAGAGAGAGAGAGAGAGAGAGAGATTTGGAAAGAAATCCAAACGGAAAAGCTGGAAATGAATACCTCAATAAATCAGATACAACCCTCAGTGTAAAGCAGCATCAAATTGCTAGAGCAAGAGGAGGAAGAACAGCGGGCTGGAAGACAGTGCTGGAGAATAACTATACCGAAGAAACAATAAATAAAGAAAATTATGTAATAAATATTATCTGGTCTAATAGTTTAGCATATCAATAGCAGAAAGCAAATGTCTTAGTCACGTTTTTGTTGCTATCATAAGACACCATGACCTAGGCAACTTATAGAAGAAAAGGTGTACTGTGACTTACAGCTTCAGAGGGTGAGTGTGTAACCATTGTGGCAGGGAGCATGGCAGCAGGCAGACAGGCAGAGCCCTGGAGCAGTACCTGAGAGTTTACCTCTTACCCACAAACACAAGGCAGAGAGAGGGCTAACTGGGAATGGCAAGGGCTTGTGAAACCTCAAAGCCCACCCCTAGTGACATACCGCTTCCTAGGCCACACCGCCTAAGCCTTCCCAAACAGTTCCACCAACTGGGGATCAAGTGATCAAGTATATGACTCTTTGGGGGCCATTCTCATTCAAACCACCACAGCAAAGAATACTCAAAGCTGCTAGAGGAAGTCCCAGATCACTCACAAAGAGACCCCATAGAGATGACAACAGACTTTTCCACACAAATCCTGAAGGCCAATAGGACACAAGCTAAGGTATTTCAAATCCCGAAACAAAACACTGCTAACCAAGGCTATATATAAATATATATATGAATTCTCTGACACATATGAAAGAGAAATAAAGGCTGTTTGTAGGGATGCAAATTAGGTCAGCCACTATGCAAATGAGTTGGAATTTCCTAGGAGTACAATCTGATTCAGTTTGATCATTCCTGTGAATGTACCTAACAGAATCAAAGGGAGCATACTGCAG